AGAAATGTTTCCATAGACAGTACGTTACAACATGCTGTTTATTTTTATTTTTTAGACGACTCTTGTTCCGGTACAACATGCTGTGTATTTATTTTTTAGACCACTTTTGTTCCGGTACAACATGCTGTTTAATAGAAAACACACTTTTCTTATTTTCTATTGAAAATAGCCTTTGTTTCTACAGGTTTTTTTGGTTTTTTGGTTTTCTTTTTTAGATGGAGTCTCACTTTTTAGCTCAGGCTGGAATGCAGTGGCGCGATCTCGGCTCACTGCAACCTCCACCTCCCAAGTTCAAGTGATTCTCCTGCCTCAGCCTCCTGAGTATCTGGGACAACAGGCTAAGTTTTGGTATTTTTAGTAGACACGGGGTTTCCCCATGTTGGCCAGGTTGGTCTTGAACTCCTGATCTGGAGTGATCCGCCCGCCTCGGCTTTCCAAGGTGTCGGAATTACAGGCGTGAGCGACCGCACCCCGCCTGTTTCTATAGTTTTTATTTTTTCCTCGTAGCAGTTCCCCAGTGGAGAGAGAGTTCTTTTCCATCTCGTTGCCTTCTTTTCTTTTCCCCTAGCCCTTAAGAAATGACCTTGATTATTTTTTAGCAGCAGCAGCAGCAGCAGAAGAAGAAACAGGGAGCAAGTGCAAAAAAGAAGAGAGAGAGAGAGAGAAATCATTCTGTTTCACTAATGTTTCGTATTCTATTACTTGACTATACTACAATTTATCCTTCTGGGCTGTTTCCAGTTTGAGGTTATTATGCTATGAACACTGCTGTGTATGCCTTTGGATGTATGTATGTACCATTTCTGTTGGAAATATATCCAGGATTGGAATTGCTCAGTTATATGATATACGTATGTCTAGTTTTACTACACACTATCAAAAATTTTTCTGAAGATTAGTTTACATTTCAACCAGCAATGCATGAGATTTTTCAGTTGCTCAAGATCCTTGCCAGCACATAGAATTGCCAGTCTTTAAAAATTTTAGGGCTGGGCGTGGTGGCTCACGCCTATAATCCCAGCACTTTGGGAGGCCGAGGTGGGTGGATCACGAGGTCAAGAGATCGAGACCATCCTGGTCAACAAGGTGAAACCTCGTCTCTACTAAAAATACAAAAATTAGCTGGGCATGATGGTGCGTGCCTGTAGTCCCAGCTACTCGGGAGGCTGAGGCAGGAGAATTGCCTGAAACCAGGAGGTGGAGGTTGCGGTGAGCCGAGATCATGCCATTGTACTCCAGTCTGGGCAACAACAGCGAAACTCCGTCTCAAAAAAAAATTTTTTTTAGCCATTCTGGGGAGGTGGTATTAGTTTTTTATTGCGATTTTAATTTGTATTTCCTTGATTGTTAATGTTGCTGAGCAACTTTGTAATATGCTGGGCCATTTGGGTATCTTCTTTAGTGAAGTGCCCATTTGAGTGTTTTATCCATTAGGAGGAAGAAGGATTGTCAGTCTTTTTCTTACTAATATTTAGGAACTTTTTATATAATATGAATATGAGCCCATTACCAGATATACATATTGTGAACATACTCTTTGTTTATAGCTAGCTTGTAGCTTTGATGCTCAGAAATTCTTAATTTTAATGAAGTTGAATTTATTAATTTTTTATGTGTCTCGTTTGATTTCTGCTTAAACAAAGCCATGAAGATAGTCTCACATTTATGTCCATAATCCATCTCAAAATAATTTTTTAAGCTGAAAGTTAAATCTTTTTCTACAGTTTTTCAATAGACCCAGCTCTATATATTGGTAAGACCATGTCTAATCCAGTTAATTGCTGTGGCAGTTAAAAAAAAATATATCGAGTGACTGTTTGGTCTTCTATTCTGTTTATTGGACTGTCCTTACACAAATGCCACATTGTGTTAATTACTGTACGATTATAAAGTGAGATTCCATCTAAACAAACAAACAAACAAAAAAAAACTTGAATAACTTTTATTATGTTGTTGTGATTAGATTTCAAGTGTATAATTTTAAGTGAAATATTTACTGGAAATTGATAGTTTTCTAAGTGTTGGTTTTCACTCAAATAGGCATGACTAGCATATGCTCTCGATAACCTTTATTAATTCAGTCTTGACAGTGTATTCTTGTTTTTTAGTACCTTCCAATTATCTTTATAGTTTAAAAGAAAGCTTCTATAAGTAACACATGTTTAAGGTAGAAAACAAGCAAAAGAGTAAAAATTGCCTGTCATCCCAGACAGAATTTTACAAAGTGTGGCATTTTATAAAGCATATATTCTTCTAGACTTTTTGTTGCTTAGCCAGAACTCATTTTCTTATTTTTCCACCTTAATCCAACCTCTGTGTTGTTCATACAGTCATATGTCTTTGGCTCATAAGGTAAAATTTCACGTTATCTGTGGCTAAAAGAGCAAAATAAAGGTTATATATGTTCTGATTATTCTATTAAAGAAGCTTCTTTATTTTTAAATTATGTTCTCTTTATTTATTTATTATACTTTAAGTTCTGGGATACATGGGCAGATCGTGTAGATTTGTTGTATAGGCATACACATGGTAGTGGTTTGCTGCATCCATCACCCCGCCATCTACATTAGGTATTTCTCCTAAGGCTATCCCTCCCCAAACCCCCTACCCCATGCTATTCCTCCCCTGGCCCCCCACTCCCCTGGTTCTCTTTTATAATGATTAAAATAGTCTATCTTTTATAAAATTATAATGATTAAATTAAAACATTATTTTCAGTAGGGCAAGGAGGCTCACACCTGTAATCCCAGCACTTTGGGAGGCCAAGGTAGGAGGATCACTTGAACCCAGGAGTTTGAGACCAGCCTGGCCACATATCAACACTTCATCTCTACTAAAAAATTTTAAAAATTAGCCGGGTGTGGTGGTGCTTGCTTATAGTCCAAGACATTTGGGAGGCTGGGGTAGGAGGATTGCTTGAACCTAGTAGGTCAAGGCTGCAGTGAGCTGTGATCACACCACTGTACTCCAGCTTGAGTGACAGAGCAAGACCCTGTCTCAAAATAATGTATATATTTTGTTGAAAAGTTTGTAATCCTATGGGTGCGGTGTTTCTATAGTAGAGCCTTGCCACTCAAAATATGGTCTATGGACTAACATTATTGACATCATATAGGAACTGGTAAAAACATAGAACCTCTGCCCAACCCCAGACCTCATGTCACGAATCAGAATCTATACTTTAACAAGCCTCTTTAGGTGATTCAAATACATATTAAATGAGAAGTGCCGGTCTAGACACTATCCATCCACTGTATATATTAGCCCCTTTGACTCTTATTTTAAGCTGTTTTACACTTCCATCTACCCAATTGCCCAATTCAGAAACCTGAGACTTCTCTTTGACTCCAGCTTGTCCCACCTCTTTGCTAACTTTTCCCGTATCAAATTCGTCACTAAATCTTATTATAATCTCAATGTACATACAATCTATCCACTTCTCTCCAGGTTCCACTTCTCTCCACTGCTGCCACTTTAGTGGAAGATACAATCACCTTTTTGCTTAGATGATTGTAACGAAAACTTCCTAACTGTTCTCTCTTTTCTACTCTTTCTTTCCTGACATTCATTATGAATTCACCAGCTTGATTGAGCTTTAAAAAATGATAAATTATATTAAAAAATTGGTAGATTATAAAATGACACTGAGATGGGAGAGTTCCTTTGACCCCTCTCAGGACTTCAGAGAGGAATCTGGCTCGTTTACTGGCCACCGAGCTCAACTCAAATCTCTTGCAAGTAGGGGAGCATGCAGGTGAGTGGCTACAGGAACTGGGACGACTGCCTTTGGGTGCTGACAGGGACAAACCCTGTACTGGCCTGCAGCAGCGTCTAGGGTTCATCGGTGACCTCTGGAGCCCTAGAGGGCATGTGTTACAAACAATGCTCTTTTAGCTTTGCCATCTGTGGTCAGCATAAGTGTTAAACAGCTCAGTGAAGGGTCAATGTGACAACCTTTTTGGGTTCCCATGCCCAGTGCATGCTGAATCCTTGTCCGGCATCCAGGAAGAATTGGGCCACATGCACAGACTGAAGGGTGGTGTATGCAGAGGGTTTTACTGAGCAATGGAAGTGGCTCTTAGTGGGATGGGAGGCTAAGAGGGATGGAGTGAGAAGATAATCAACTGTCCTCGGCTGAACCCCCCTCCGACTGTAGTCTCCGATGTCCAACTGCCTCTTCTCTCAACATTCAGATGCTTCTTCCCGTCTCCTTCTCTGGCGCGCAGCTCTGCTCTTCTGCCAGTGGAGCTTGGGGTTTCTATGGGTACAGGGTTGGGGTCATGGTGGACCAGGGTGGTTTCAGAATAGGCAACGTTCAGGTGGGAAAACAGGAATACATATTCTCATTTATGGCCGTGGGTCCAGGCTTAAGGGTGTAGCCCTCACCAGGGACTACCTTTTTCTACCCAGTATTTCCTTGCCTCCTGTCCGTATCAATATTATTGAGAATTCTTTATGAATTTTCACTTGCATATAAGGTAAAAATACAAAATCTCTATGGCTTACATTGTCTTTCTTTCCAATCTCATTTCCTATCTCTTTCCCTGGCTCCAT